GGCTGTCCAGGTATCGTTGAAGTGTCTTGTCGAATGTGGTATTACTATATCCATTATTGATGAATGATATATATATATATATATGAATCAATATGATTTTCCCAGGCTTATCATACAATTGAGGTTAGTCATTGGCACATTTACTAGTAAGTTTTTACAGGACTTGAAACTAATTTTTTTGGCTACTTAAAATACCAATTACTTCAAAAGGTACTCATGCAAAAAATAAATAATGAGATGCGTACCATTAACAAATATAACTGCACCTTACTTGAATTTCCAGGAAGTATTGCAATTTTGATTTTTTTTCATATATACATATCTTCTATTAAGTTTTAGATTCATGTTTATGAAATTGTGATAACTACATATCTAAATATGAAATGAAATAATAAGTTGACCAAAACATGTTTTGAATGTGCTGTTTTGCCAGTTATTTTAAACTTGTGGAAACCGTTGAATGATGCACAACAGTCTGTTAGAAAATACTACTGGTTGATTATTACAGTGTGGTTTTTTCCAAGAAATGATTTTCTGGAAGCCAGCTTTTTGCCCCTTCATGGTCACTGGCTAAACATAATCTAACTGGCTTTTTGCCAGATAACTACCACTGATTTTGAGTCTGTTTTACTTAGAGAAAATAGTTGGACGGAGAGACTTGAGAGTAAATCTTATGAAAAAACTGTAAATAACTAGATATCAAAAATAAGTGTTCCCCTGCTTTAGTAAACTGTTAATTAAAAACCAGATCCTAGCTGTTTTTAAGCAAATTGACATGAAGTATTCAAGTAAAATTTGGGGTAGTCTGTTGCTTATGTAAAACAGCATTCGTTTGATATTTTCAAGTACACCATTTTCTTCTGAAAGTAATCTGGTAGGTCCCATAGAATAACAGGAAGTTGGACGGATAATTTATCATGAAGAAAATCCAAAGAATGTGAAAAATTAAAAAAAAAATTGGACACAATTTGTAACAAAATGAAACAATCGTTAGTCAGTGCACAAAAATAATTAAGGGCAAGTGCATGCATTTACTGGAGGTAAAAAAATGTTAGAATATTTTAGAAGTCTTAAGAACTGTGACTAGATATATTTCAGAACCGAGAAAATATAACATTACGTACACAAAACAGTAATATTAATATTGTTGTTCTCAAATCGCTTGCGTAACCCACGTACGTGACTGTTGGTCATTCCCATTGTTTTATACAGGAGGTTACATCCTTAGAAAATCACTTCACCTGTCAGTGGAAAAGATCATTGTGCATGGCCATTTCTACAGAGGGAAATCAATTTTCTATGAATAGGTATAGAATCTATTTCACAACAGAATTCGTACACTCCGACAAAATATATTGTATTTTTTTTTCTTTAAACTGAAACGTTTGTGATATTAAAAATATAACGTTAATATACAAATAGCCAAAAAGTGAAGTATTGTTTGTTTATAATTAAGCACAAAGCTACACAATGGGCTATCTGTGCACCATAGGTATCGAAACCCGGATTCTAGCGTTGTAAGTCCGTAGACATATTGCTGTGCTACTGGAGGAGGGGGGGGGGCAAAAGCAAAGTAAAATAAACAGTAAAAAAATCAAAAGGAAAGTTTAAAATTGCAGATTAAATGGTACACACACAAACAAGTTTGTGGGAAATAATAGTATTTAACAATTTAATGTAAAGTGTTCATCTTCTATTACAACTGAACACTAATAACACAACCAACATCTATTGAAGTAACTACCACAATCTCAATCTTACGTGTAATTAGGCTTTAATTCTTTTTTAAAATCACTATTTTGAAATGGCCTTTATCACAAGTAACATTTACTTTCATTTTGAAGATACTGCTGAGTGGCTATCAACCCCAAATCACATCACATTCCACTTAAATATAATGACATACTACTGTTACGACAACGGAAGTCACGTGACTCTGGTAATGCGTTCTAGAAAGATCGGAGAACATCACGAATAATCCAGTATTTGCTAGACGCCCTCTAATTCTTGTATATAAGTGCGCCTGACAATTAATCGAGAGAGAATAGCAGACAGAGAAAGACGGACAATTGGGTCAAGCGCAGTAGTAAGTAAGTAAGTGCGTGAATCGTTCCCTGTGAATTATAACGTGTTTATATAAAATTAGGAGATGTCGCTAAGTGACTGCCTCAAATCCCCAATGAGGTCAGTCTAATTAATACTCAAAGGAGGATAAGTGGTGAGTTACATTTGAAATGTTATTGTTTAATGATAATTGTTTTCCATATTTTGACTGTTGAGATGTTTCAATAGGCCTCACTTTTGAAACTAGGGGTTGATCAGCCAGGAAATTTCTTGGTGGCCTTCATGGCCAATCTGCTTCTATACAGACCTTAATAAAGCCCAACTTCCATCCTTGTTACTCTACGTTACAGTCTTTGTTTTGTTTCCATCGAAAATAATACAAGAATTAGCTTTGGTAAAAA